GCTACAGTGTAATTTCATATCAGTTGGAAAGGCAGTTGCCAATAGCTGCTCTGTTGAATTTAATTCAGGTTTTGGCAAAGTTTTTGACAGCAAAAATATATTCATATTAATTGCCAAAAGAATCAGCGGACTGTTTCTGTGTGAAACAAAAAATAATGAAAAGTTGTGTTTATCAAAAGGTGCTGATGATATCAAGAAATGGCATGCACGATACGGCCATTTAAATGTGCAGAGCCTTCGTGAACTGAAAAGCAAAGATATGGTGCGTGGATTGGCAGTAAGCTCTGACATAGAACATTTTAGTTATATAAATTGCTTGAAAAGTAAATGTCACGCTAGACCATTTAGATTCAAAGAATAGATCAAAACAAATATGTGAGTTGATACATAGTGACGTGTGTGGACCTATAAGGCAAGTATCGAATGGCGGCGCCAGATACTTTCTCACAATGATTGACGATAAGAGCCGTTACATACATGTTTACTTTATGAAACAAAAGTCTGAGGTGACCAAGATATTTAAAGAACATGTAACGATGTTAGAGCGTCAGAAAGGTCAGAAAGTGAAAATCATTAGAAGTGATAATGGCACAGAATATGTCAACAAAGATTTTGACGAATATATTAAGTTGGCTGGTATTAAACGGCAGCTGAGTGCAACGTATACCCTGCAGCAATATGGTGTTGCTGAGCGCTGCAATCGGACACTGGTTGAGATGGCAAGAGTAATGCTTAATAGTGCAGCATTAAACGAGAATTTCTGGGCGGAGGCAGTCGCGTGCGCTGCATATCTAAGAAACCGATCACCAACGAAAGCTCTGGATGGCATAATACCTTTCGAGGCGTTTACAGGGCTGAAGCCAGTTGTCAAGCACTTGAGAGTGTTTGGATGTACAGCAATTGCACTGGAAAAGGGTCCAAAGAAGAAGTTCCAGGAGAAAGGAAAAGAGTATACTATGGTCGGATACTCCGAGTCGTCAAAGGCATATCGACTGTTCGACAAGAACACAGGTGACGTGAAGATTAGCAGAGACGTTTATTTCATCGAGGATAGCGTACGTGAGTCAACCGAGAAAGCTAGCGCTACGATAATGGTTGAAGATGATAATGCTGATCAGGAAGGTATACAAGAAGATCATTCCAGTACAGAGGAGCAACCTGACGATGATGCTGACGAAGTTGAACAGCCAAGAAGAGGGCCAGGTAGGCCTAAAATAGTCAGAACGGGCTTGAAGGGACGGCCAACTAGACAATACAACATGACAAATGTAATGTTAAGCAATAACATTAAAGTTCCTTTAACCGTGCAGCAAGCACAATCGAGTCCACAAGCAGATGAATGGAGAGCGGCAATGCAGGAAGAGTATAACGCATTGATGTGTAATGACACATGGGACCTGGTTCTGTTACCACATGGTCAGAAGTCCATAGGCTGCAAATGGGTGTTTACTTTAAAGACGAATTCATCTGGAGAAGTTGAGCGCTACAAAGCGCGCTTGGTTGCAAAAGGATGCGGCCAAAGGTATGGCATAGACTTCAAAGAGACGTATTCTCCAGTAGTGCGCTACAGTACAATACGTATGATCTTGGCTATGGCTGCAGAATACGAGCTTTATGTACATCAACTTGATGTTTCGACGGCATACCTAAACGGCATTCTGGAAGAAGATATCTACATGCAACAGCCAGAACTCTACGACGACCATTCTGGATGTGTGCTGAAGCTTAAAAGGTCGCTGTACGGCCTGAAGTAAGCTGGTCGGGTTTGGAACACTAAGTTGGATGGCGTTCTAACCAAAATGGGATGCAGGGCATGCGAGAGCGAGCCATGTCTGTATACCTAGTGCTCAGATGACCAGACGATAAACCTGATTGCAGTATACGTAGATGATATGTTACTGGCGTGTTCAAACATGGATGAGATGCTAGCTACTAAAAAAGCTATATCTTCTGAATTTCAGGTAGTAAACAAGGGTCAAGTGACGAACTTCTTGGGCCTTGAAATCCAACGAGAAGGAAGGACTGGTGCGATTCGTGTGAGCCAAAAGAAGCATATAGTGGGTCTACTCAATGAGATGGGCATGTCTAATTGCCGCACCACGTCAACACCATTGGAAGCTAACTTCCAAGTAAACTGCGAGAGAGAGTCGTGTAAGCGCGTTGATATCACAGAGTATCAGTCTGTGATTGGTTCGCTAATGTATATTGCGCTATGCAGACATCTTACATTTGGTGTGCAAGCTGGCACAACGGAATTCGAATCCACATAGCGAACATCTTGCAGCAGCAAAGCAAGTTTTGAGGTATCTGCACACCACAGCAGATCTAGCGTTAGTCTACGAGAAGACAGGAGAGGAGATTGCTGGCTCTGCAGATGCAGATTGGGCTGGAGACTCAACTGATAGAAAGTCTTTCACAGCATATGCCTTCATGTGGGGAGGTTTCATGGACCTCGAAGAAACAGAAGTCGGTGGCACTGAGCAGTACTGAGGCGGAGTATATGGCGCTCTCTGATGCTGCAAAGGAGGCGATTTATTTAAGAAAGCTAATATGCGAAATGAATCCGTATTTTAAGAGAAACTGTATAAGAATTTATGAAGATAATGTAAGCGCGTTAAATCTTGTGAAGAATCCTATACATCACACACGAAGCAAACATATTGATACTAAATATCACCATATACGAAATTGTTATGAAAATAAGTTAATCGATTTATCTTATTGTCCATCAAATGAAATGATTTCCGATGTATTAACTAAGAATTTATCAAGAGTAAAACATATGAAATGTATAGCGTTGATCGGCCTAATGAAAATATAAGAATTGAGGAAGAGTGTGGATATGGCAATTCTCATATTAGTGGCAACGCTATCATGTACTTAGCTATTAAGAAGCATAATAAAATCAGTCTCACTTGAACAACCAAACGTTGCGGTTCTTCTCATCCACTCGCGCACAAATACTCGCCAACAGGTTATTTGCATGCTGTCGCTTAAGAAGTACCGTTCTAGCGGGGCGACAGCGTTGTGTCGCTGTCGCCGAGTGAGGCTCGATAATAGGCACAAAGAATAATTGAGAGACACAGGGCAGTTGTGTTTAAAATTCGAGTGCGGTCGAAACTCGCTGCGCGAAACGATGAGTGAAGAAAATTGTGTTCCGACATATATATGTACATACATATGCAGGTGCATGCAAGAGAGAGTTCTCAGTGAGAGTTAACAGACGTGTTTACTATTGTGCTCTTCAATTATTCTTGTTTTCTTAGTTAATTATTCTTATTAAATTTCACATAATTGCGGTTCGGTTGTATATAGCAAATATCTATATTTTCCTGTGCAAGGTTTGATCCGTTGTTCACTGTGTTTTTAATAATTTGCTTTTTTAATTTGTGAAGCTTTGTGTGCAGTGTCGGTTCATTAGTTTCATTATTTGCATTTTTGCTTTAGTGTTTCTATTTGTTGGCGCTCTCCCCAGTTCACTCTTTCTAAGTCGGGCGATAGCCCAAACGCTGTCAACCAGAGTATATAGTGCGCAAAAAAAACAGGGCATGATCCTATTAAAATTGGAAAATCATCGATAGCTCTTGCTATCATCATTGCATCATTGCAGCTAGGATTGTCAAATTACATGTATCATTTATACAATTTTGATTTTTATTATATATTTATATTAGACGTCTGCATGAATGGAAAAAAAGCACATTCAAATGTACAAAGTCATCATTGAATTGAGTGAGTGACTGAAGTCGTGTTTCTCTCGGCTGCACAAAAATATACCCGAAAAGAAACGAAGTGAGTGAGTGAGCAGCAGAAGCTATTAAATGTTGTATATTGAATACATTCGAATATTGTCAGCTGTTTTCTTCTGCGTGTGTTATCTGTTAAAAGAAAGAGCAAAAAATAAAGAAATATGTGTGCAATGTATTTTTTTGTTGTGGAATTTTTAACTTATATATTTATTATCTATTATATTTATTTTATCTGTTAAGCTGTACACTCCACTTTGTAACATTTTTTTTATTTCGTCGCTTTTAAGCAACGCACTCTCCTATATTTTATATATTTAAACCAAACAAATATTAAATCTGCAAATATCAACACAGAAAACATATATAGACGGTCACAAACACACATTTTGTTAGTAAAACTAAAACACAAGCTTTAAACAAAACAAACCACAAAAACAACACGCTGGTATTTGCCGAAAAATACATACATTTTTTCCTGCAGCTTCCGCTTCCATTTCACACGCCTGCTCATAATTTCTCAAAGCACAAAATGAGTAGTTCGAATGTTATCGAAGTTTTCATTTCATTTTGCTCTTCTTTCGTTATACTCAATTATTCGGCATGAGACACAACATGTTCGTCTTGCGAAACAGTAGTATACACATTCGTCTCATTCTGTCCTTTTCACTCACTCTTATTCTACTCAATTCGAATGTACTCAATGTGACTTTGTTATGAATGTATTCATGCAGACGTCTAATTTGTGTCCATATACTGGATACCGGCTTCAAGCTATCAGCAGATCAGCGCGATTTTCCTATAAATGTGCACACTCATTGTGTATTCTATGCGTACAAACAGAAGCGCGCCTTTTCGCTCATTCATAGAATTTCGATTGATTTCTGGATTTTCTAGCCGCTCCTGTAGTTTTTTCAGATGACGTTCTGTTATTAAGTTATTCTATTTTAGCAACTGGCTGATCAAGCAAAGCAGTAGCGAGTATGCTAAGGGTGACGCAAGTTATGTTAGAGTGTAGGAGAGGTTCGAAGCCTCTTCACCACCGCGAGCTTCTGAGCTGCACGGTTGCATTGTCGATCGCGGCCGCCCAATATTCAAATTATTGTCCCCTCTTAAAAGCTAGTTGCTACGCCTAAGTGCTGCTTAATAATTATACTTAATACTACGCTTACGTACTAAAAAAAAAAAATTACTAATTGAATCCAAAATCAAAATCATAGCTGTGCTCTATTCTTATATCTAAGTCTTACTTACTACCAAAACTATATCTACATAACCCATGTAAGGTGGGTCGCGGGCGCCTTCTAGTCGGGAGACCTCGTTTATTTCTGAACGGTGCACCGTGTGCAGGTTGCTCCTGCCCCTCCCGTTGGCGGTAATACTCCCTGCCCGACCGGGGATCTCGCTGTCGCCCTCTGGCCCCTTCACCGGGAAACGGCTCGGTGTCGTCGCTACTGATATCTTCGACGAATTTAGAGTGTTTGAATATATAGTTTTGTTTATCGTTTAACGTTAGTAGGGGGTTACTGTGTGGAAGTTTAGTGATTCCCGAGACTGACGGGTCTTCAAGACACCTCTTCGTCACCGCGCTGACCGCGCCTCGTCCGCCGTTTTCCCCGTCCTCAGCTTCTGGGATCTTGTCATCCCCCTCCTCTCCGTGGTGGAACGGTTTTAGCTGTGCGATGTTAGCCACCCGTCTCTTGCGCTCGCCTTCCTTCACCAGGCGAACCACATTGGGGGAGATGAACTTGACGACCTTGTAAGGACCGTCAAATGTGGGTGCCAGTTTCGCCGCAAATCCTTCTGCCGCGTTCGACAGTTGATGCTGTCGTAACAGGACCGCCGAGCCCAGCGTCGGCCTCTAATCACGCCGGCGCAAGTTGTAGTGTCTCCCCTGATCTTTAGAAGCCCGCTACAGATTGCTGCGTACTATGTCGAAAACTTCCCGCATTCTAACTTCTTTGGCCTCGGGCTGGGTTTCTCTCGTCGCCGAACCGGGAGTGACTTCATCATATTATGCGGCGGGCAAGCGTGGTTCCCGCCCTAACATCAGGAATGCCGGAGTGAAGCCCGTGGAGTCGGCCACGCTCGAGTTGACCGCCAGCGTTATCTCAGGCAGCAGCTCGTCCTACGAGCTTTGATGGCCTTCGATATATTGAGCTATTATGGTCTTCACCGTGTGATCCGTCGGGTTCTTCAGCGGCGAATAAGCCGCTGTATATTGGAGTGTCACCCCCAGGGATTCTATGAACGCCTTGAAACTGCTGCTTGAAAATTGTATGCCGCTGTCGAAGACGACTGTCCTAGGTACTCCAAATCTGCTGAGTATACGTAGAAATGTAGAATTTGGATTTTAGTATCTGGTATTTCTGTAAATTGAAAGTTTGGTTTTATCTGTTTTATATACTATACTTAAGTTCTTTGCATTTTCTACAATTTGCTATTATTATACCCTGAACCCATTGAAAATGGGAAATCAGGGTATAATGGTTTTGTTTAATGTATGTAACAGGCAGAAGGAGGCGTGGCAGACCCCACAAAGTATATATATTCTTGATCAGGGCGACGAGCTGAGTCGATTTACCTCTGTTCGTCTGTCTGTATGTTTGAACGCGTCGATCTCATAAGATATAAGAGCTAGAGAGTTGAATCTTTTTCCTAGGTCCGTGTACAGCATGCGCATATCGAGTTTTGCTTTAAATATCGATAGCTTGCCTCGTTCTTTTGTTTTCGATTAAACACATTATGGAAAACCAGTAATAAATTTATATCTCCTACATCTTTAAAGCTACACCACTGAAGGGAGAACCCATAGACTAGACATGCAATACAAAGTTTTTGAACACCGAAAAATCTGTCTCCTATGGCCTATAAATTTCGCATTTGCTCGGTTCTTCACTATTAGGTTCGGGCTACAAAAATATACGAAAGCACAATCATTTCGCTTCATTCGCTCGACCGAGATGGTCAAATGTTGAATAAAAGATGCCTCTATGCTCAATCTTTGTGCTTGCTCTCTCGCTCTCTCTGCTCTCTGTGTGAAGAGTATTCCGAACTCTTCAAACCGTTTACCAAGCTTGTACAAAATATTTGCGTTTGCCGCCTGTAGCAATTTTACAGTCCAGCATTTGCATTTGGTCGATCTTGTGAAGTGCTTACATACATATGTATGCATGTATGTATATACATACATTTGATTGTGTGTACGCATAGGCTGCGATGCTCATAATTATGGGAAATAACTTGTAAAGAATGGTGTGAACGATTTTGGGTTTTAATTAAAGAGGCGCGCTTATATTTAAATAGCCGACTAACTAAAGTGACAAGTGCTCTTCCCAATACTCTGTGGCACAGTGGCCAGCGAGTAACTCATACACATATCTGTGTGTGGTATAGTGACTGGCGGGTAACTCGCGCTTATCGTTAAGCACCTGATTTTGCCTTCGTATTTATGCGTGTGGTTGTAGCATCGGTGCGTAATGAGGTTTTATGTGTGTGGTTGTAGTTTTCGACTATTTTGCAAGAATTATTTTCATCATATTGCATCAGCCAATACTTGAGCTGTGATTGGTTATTTGCACGTTGTCGCTTAAGAAGTACCGTTTTAGCGGGGCGACAGCGTTGTGTCGCTGTCGCCGAGTGAGGTTCGATAATAGGCACAAAGAATAATTGAGAGACACAGGGCAGTTGTGTATAAAATTCGAGTGCGGTCGAAACTCGCTGCGCGAAACGATGAGTGAAGAAAATAGTGCTCCGACATACATACATACATACATATGCAGGTGCATGCAAGTAAAACAAGTAAGAACGTTGCAGTCGGGCGATAGCCCAAACGCTGTCAACCAGAGTATAAATTAACACAAACATAGCATAAGCATATTTCTCTCTCACTTGCCGACGCTTGTGACATGGTGCTGACGAAACAGTATTAAATTCAGCGCCCTAACCACAGCGGACAGCAACAGTAATCTGACTCCTTACATTTGTGTGCGTGTGTCAGCATTATTGTCGAGCAAATCGGCACGCCGATTCGCTGTCCCACACTTTAGTTTTAGTTCTGTTTTGTATTCACGAGAAAACGTCACGATAAATTCATTACTCCGGCACCAGCCGTAAATTAAAAGTTCTTTTATTCTCTCAGCCTAAGCGAGAGTCAACTTGGAAAATAACTTATTTGGCGCCCAACGTAATAAAAGTACTCACGAGAACCCTCTCAATTAATAAGTGCATATGTTAAACACACTTAAAGCAAGCAATCCACTCAGAAGACTACGACGACGTCAGCAGAGAGCCAGAAACACCAGGAACAGTCAAGCGCCCCTTCAAATAAACATGTAAGTGGCGTGCTCAGTTAATTCACTCCAGACCAAAAAAAAAAAAAAAATATTTAATATTAACTCGACAAGCGTACTGTGTCCATTCTTTAACAAAGCATTTATCCGTGTAAAAAAAAAAAAAAAAAATACAAGCTGAATGTCGATTCGTGATTCTGTGTAGGTTGCTATTGAGTTTCGCAGGCCCGTATAGAGAAGTGAAAAGAGAGATTATTAGCGACGAAGAGTCCAGCCCTCTCCCATCTGACGATAACCTCGAAGATTTTGACAATAGCGTTGTAGGTTTTGCCCCTCAACTTCCCCCTCAGCCAACCATGGACGCCGCAGGTGTCGATCGGATAGTGCAGGCAGCGTTGCTGGCCCAGAAGCAGGCGTTCGATGCGCAGCTCGACGCTTTAAGACAGCAAGTTTCTACCTTGCGAGTCGCGGCCCCAGAAATTCAAGTATACCAAAGGATAGTGGTCGACCCCACAGTCCAATGCCCAATCTCGCTAGACGTGGTAAAGTCAATGCCCGACTTCGACGGGGCTCAAGAAGACTATGTTGCCTGGCGGCAGTCAGCAACAGACGCTTACGAGCTATTTAGGTCCCACTCTACTAACAGCGTTCATTACCAAGCTGTGACCATAATTAGAAATAAGATTAGGGGAAACGCAAGAGCCCTGCTTACGTCCCACAACACGGTTCTTAATTTTGACGCGATCATTGCCAGGCTGGATTGCACGTACGCGGACAAGACCTCACTAAGGCTCCTCCGCCAAAACCTGGAAATGGTCAGACAGGGCGATTCTTCTCTCATGCAGTACTACGACGACGTAGAACGCAAGCTAACGTTGGTAACCAACAAAATCATCATGACACACGAAGCCGCCATGGCGACCTTATTAAACAACGAGGTCAGGGCAGATGCCCTTCACGCATTCATTTCGGGTTTAAAAAGATCCCTCAAGGCCATCGTCTTCCCAGCCCAACCCGGCGACTTGCCCGCCGCCTTGGCCCTAGCCCGAGAAGCCGAAGCTAGCATTGAGCGCAGCAACTTCGCTGCGTCATACGCGAGGGTGATGGAAGAGCTCATTCGAATGAGCACAACAAAAGTCAAACCAGACAGGACAAACACGGTAGGAATAATAACCCTAACCAAGAGAAGAACCCACACTTCGTAAAAAAAACAAGGGAAACAACCTCAAAGCGGCGATCACGCGCAGCAACAGCCGAAACCGCCCCAGCAGTCGGAGCCGATGGATGTAGACCCGTCAATGTCCAAGGTCCGTCAGCCAACAAACTGGAGGGACAGACCCGCACAGCAATCCGACAATGGACAAGCCGCGAAGAGACCCAATTCGTCAGAACGACACACTGGCCCCAGGCGACAAAGATTGAACCAAGTGGTTCAGCATAACGAGTAAGATGAAGCTGCAGCCGAAGCTGTTGGCGAAATACTAGACGACTCCGACTCCCTAGGAGACAACGACCTGGTCAATTTTTTAGGGGTCACTCCCGGCTACCGTTCATCGAGCGGCAGTTGGCTGGGAGAACAGTAAGAATCCTAATCGATACAGGGGCGGCGAAGAATTACATTCAACCCATACAGGAGTTGAAAAACATAAAACCCGTCGACTCCCCCTTCACAGTTAGCTCCGTTCATGGATCTAACAAAATCAGCCAAAAGTGTACAGTAAACATTTTTGGAACAACAGCTCAATTTTACCTATTGGAATCACTTCAGCCGTTCAACGCCATAATAGGCTTCGACCTGCTAACGCAAGTAGGAGCAACATTGGACATTGAGAAAGGTACAATTAATTATGGGCAAACTAACGAAAAGTTACGGCATCACTTCTGTGACAACGTTAATTTCACTAACGTCAACGATATCGTGGTACCCGAGATGGTAAAAGAGGATTTTAAAAAAATGATTCTGAAGAACATCAAGGCATTTTCGACCTCTAACGAGGCACTGCCGTTCAACACTTCGGTCATAGCGACGATAC